CAATGCTTATCCCAGTATAGCAAAACACTCAGCCTATAACTTACAGTTATCATAACAGCCCTAATAGGAGTGTGTTCTTATTGTGGCACTAAATTTAAAAGGGCCAGGCTACTGCAATCATAAAACTACATTCTTCAACCAAAATCCTGGGCCTAACATTCCCAGGCCCATCATATGGAACTTAACACAATTGGTAAATACAATCTATCAGTCATACGAGAGAACATGCAGACTACAGGACAGATGGGGCATGAATGTGTGAATAACAAAGAAAGGTGGCCACGTAACAACATTTAGCCCACCAGGTCACCTTCAGTCCATGCATTATGCTTTTCCGGGACAAAAGTGGGGGAAGTAACACCAAATAGCATTATTTGTGTATTTACATCTTTTAAGATCTGCTTCGGAAATGCTGATGTTGTTATAAACAAAAGTTTTCATAGGGTTCCCTGGTCAATAATGAGAAGCACTTGGTTACTTTTGTATGTACAATTGTTGTGTCTTGTTTTTAAAAACTGAACCATGTGTTCTTTACAGCTACTTAAGAGAAAGCAGTTGTTTTGAAATGGAAGCTGTTTTCATTACTAGTTGAAGTACAGAAAAGAGTGAAATGAAAATATTACCCTGTTCATCTTTCTGAGTAACAATTTCCACATCAGTAACATATCCAAACTTTCTGAATCTTTCCTGCAGTTCAGCCTCAGAAACTGTATGGCCAGGTCCTCCAACATATAAGCATTTTAAAACTTTTATTTTCTCCATATTAAAAAATGAAATTGTTTTATCCTTCTGTTAAAAAGCAACAAAAAAAAATGAGTATTAACACTTTTCTGAGATAGAGTTTATCAGTCACTATGGCTACGTCTACACTGCACCATAGTTTGGAATAAGACACAATTTGAGCTATACATACTGCATATCTTATTTTGATCTTATTTCAAAATAGCTTATTTTGTAATTTCGCACTGTGTACACAGCGCCAAATTTCAAAATAACCCGCTATTCTGAAATGTCCTTTACTCTTCGTGGAATGAGGCTCACAGGAACCTTGGAATAGCGAACCCTAAATAATGGGCTTGCTGTTAAGACCCAGGATAGCTATTTTGAGATTCTCCAGTAACCTGATATAATGTTGCAGTGTAGACGTAACCTTTGTGGGTACTTCCAAGAGATGACCCATATTCTGCACTTACCTTAGAGCAGAATCCCACAATTCAGCTCACTTTCTGATGTGAATTATCAGGTTATAGCAGCCCTTTTCCCACCAACCTTACCAGAACAAGTCCAACAGGATTTTGACCCTGGCCTAGGAATGTTAAAATGTGTTTAATTAAGTAATCATGTAATTTCTGGAAATGTCAGTGGTTAGACTGTCAGATCCTTGGGAGCCGGTGTATGCAGGGAACCAGTTTTGAGCACATGCCTCCTGCCTCCCTCCCCCAATCCCTGAGCTGATGCCTCTGTATCAAAAGTAGCAGCACTGGGGCATAGGGGCAGGTGGGTCTCCGAGAGCCAATTCCCTATGCGTACCAGGAACCCACATGTAACCATGAATAGGAACCTGCATGTAACCTGGGCTCATCGGTTAACCATGTACAAGGTTACATTTCCATATCCCTAGAAACTGTTATGGAATGTTCTCTGGGAGCTGTGACCCATGGGTGAAAGCAGTGATGAAACAGCATATCCAGAACAGAATAGGACTTATTTAACAATCGGAATATGTCACATTGAGAGAATGAGATTAAAGTAACAAAAGTCCTCTACAAAGGTTTCTGATGATCTCAATGGTAAACAGATCTGGGAGCATTTTCTGGATCATTAGGTTTAACATTGAAATACAGGCAGTCCCCGACTTACGTGGATCCGACTTACGTCGGATCCCTAGATACGAACGGGGTGAGGCAACTCCCGCACATGCACAGCAGCATTCCCGGGGCTCACTCACCTGGGTCCTAGGATCCTCCTCCGCCTCGGGCCGGCTCCGACTGGTGTCCCGCAGAGCTGCCGGGCAGAGGAAAAGTGCCCCCCCCCGCCCCCCTGCCAGCAACAGGCTGCCCCCTCTAAGCCCATTACTCCTTGTCCTGTCCTCAGAAACCAAGAG